TGCCGCCTCTAAGCCCCCTCCTCCTAGTGTCCCCTGGGCAAACCTTTCAGTGACCAGTTTCTGGATTATCTCTTTTTTTCTTATTTTGATGACTTTGGCAGTTGTTTTTGCTTTTCTTTTGTGGTGTGGATGGGATGTACTTGTACTGCTCCCACTGATAACAGTCCAATTTCTGCCTTTGCTGTAATGGCAAAGGCTTATGTTTTATAAAAACTATCCTCTTTTGTTGTTTATTGTTTATGTTGCTCTGCTTCTCTTTTTTATCATGTTGTGTGCACATATGTGGCATAAATTAGTTTGGCTAGACTTCTTTATGTTTATTGTTTGCTTGTGTATTTTTAATGATGCCAAAAGGGGGAAGTATAATTGAAACAGGGATCTGATTAAGGGGGAAGCATAAAGTCAGGGGGAACTTGTGAAATTCCTGTTACTTAATCTGGTTTATTTTGCTCTAAACATGTGTTATCAATTTATAAGTTTGTCATCATCAAAAAGAGAGAAATTGATGGGTTTACCGTACCTTAGCTTTATGTTTTGATGATCTAACAAACTTACTGTCAAAGAACCAGATAAGGAACCTAACCCACTTGGTTCACAACTCAAATCAACGGACTTCAGCTTATGTGAGTTGCTATGACTTTAGAAGATAGAGAATTAACACAGGGACCTGATACCCTAGTGTTTCCCTAACAGCAGTACGAAGTCAACTGTCTACAGCTAGAAAGTGACTGCCTGCACAGTACACTGAAACAGTGCAACACAGTTCTGCAGTCACTTCTCATTTGACCTACCGAGTGATTACATCATTCAAGTGATGTCATCCATGTTGTATTAACATTAAACATTACAACAAAACATCGCTTGAACACTAGAGAATCACTAAAGCACTCCAACCGTTTTGCCTACCAAGCATTCAATTCTCAAGTGCATCAAGAACAAAGAACAACACTACTACGGACCAGTTCCTACAGCAAGTATTTTGTATGTCCTTAGTTGAGTTGTAACTTTGTAATTGTTCTTCATTTTAATTCCTACTTTGCTTATCTAGAAGCGTGATTTAGGAACCCCTTGTAAACCATAAACCTTTAGTGTTTGTGTCGTGACTAGAGTTAGTCATGAGTTGAAGTCTTTGTAATAGGTGTATAGCAAAGTGGCTTGTAATAGGTGTATTACAAGTTAGTGAGGGATTAAGAGTTTAATTCCTGGATTGCATAGTTTGTAGTCTAAAGTTGCTCATAGTGAAGTTGAAATCCTACTAGTGTAGGTCGTGGTTTTTTATCCCATTGAGCAGAGATTTTTCCACGTAAAAACTCCCTGTTCTTTTTAATTACTGTTATATTAGCATTCTCAGTGGAAACTCATATAGGTATCTATATAGTTTGGTGGACTCATATATTCTATCACGACATAACTTGTTGAGATCTCATCACGTTCTTTATTTTCAGGTACCCGAACTTCTTCTGGAGTTTCATGAAATGTTATGTCGTGGGCTCTTCTAGAGCTCATTTCCTCCTTATTATGATCATTTTGATCATTTGCTCCTATCATTTTTCAAGGATTGTTACCTATGTAACCGATCGGTTTACTATGCTTCATGCTTGCAGTAAACTTTATCCTTCAGGGACTTTAATTTTAATAGGAGCATTTGCAGCTGAAATTTGATATTTAACTTTGGATCAACAAATGCTTCTGGCGTTTGATTTGAATTATCTTCTGAGTGAGGATTATATTTAATGATAATTCTTCATATAGCATATTTTTCAGCTGCTTATTCCATCCTTCAAATGTTAGAAAAAGTAACATATATCCCCAATCTTCTTTGGAAAACCTATCTTTGTGCATTGTAGTAGAGAAATTAATCATATACCACACATAAAAAAGTTATTAGATAGTAAAAATATTTGGTTTCTGATCTTAAACCAATTGTGAGGGGAGGACTTATCATATATTGTTGGTCTAATGCATACAAGTGCTGCAATATGCAATTTAGAAAATCTTAGACCAACACATGAAGCTTTGTTCTCATAAGCAATAGTTTAGCCATTAATACGAGGTATTCAATGCTAAACCAGCTTGGATATAAACCAGCATTATCAAGATGAACTGTCTTGATTTCATAATCTGAAAATCATGCTCTTATTTGAGAAAAGCAATTTCAAATGCCAAACTGCAGGTTGACAATAATCACACATGTAACCATCTCATATATGCATCTATAAGTGGTTCACATGATAGGTGAATGGGCCCATATTCACCTTTTATATATTTCAGAATCAAGAGTCTTAGTCCCAACTTTAGCTGGTATAATCAATTTATTATGAGAACAAGCAGCACATGAGAATTCTTGAAAAATCTTCTAGTTCTTCAGTATATGCTTATCTGAATTCTCAAATAGCTCATTTAAAACTGGCAAATAAAAACTTCAAGTTTACCATGGCATATGCTATCTCTTAGCAAACTTCTGGTTTACTATGGCATAAACTTTTGCATTAGTAAACTTCTGATTTACTGTGGCTACTTTTGTAGCTACTTTTGTATTAGTAAACTTCTGGTTTACTGTGATACATGATGTAGTACAAATTGAAGAATAAGGCGGGTAACTGCCCCTATGACTGTGGAAACATGAATATTTTCAATCTTTCAATCATTTGTAGTCTCAGTATGATTGTCATTTGTATTAGTAAACTTCGGGTTTATCATAACATATGTTTTGACCACAATAATGACAAATAAGCTCTTCGGGAGCCTTCAATTTATTGTCCACAATCAAATATTATTCAGACACTTGTATCATGTATCTTCTAGACAAACAGTTAGCTCTTCGGGAGCTTTTGATAAATTTTGTATTACCAAATATTGCTCAAACACTTCTGGTATCATGAGAGAAAATAATAATCAAATAGACAATATAAAGCCAATTCTAAATTTATAAATGACGAAAATTAAGAATTTTAATGTTCTACCACTAACTTTGTGACAAATATCTCCTTCAAGGAAAAATACCATTAACATCTGAATATTTTGTATCAATGCGGCAACCACATAGTCATTGCATCCTTTAATAAAAGATACACGAGTTGTTATTTCCTTCGGGCAACTCAATAACTAACCATAATTTACTAATGTGGTTGTAGTAGAAAGCATTCTACAAGAATGCTTTTGCCTTAGAATGATACTTAATAAAATTATCCAAGATGTTGTACGACAATGATCTTTATGCCACAAAAATAACATTTATATCCTCTGTTATTCTAGCTCTTTGGGAGGTGAGTTGTGGTATTCTTCATTCACCCCAGGGAATAAAAATGTGCTTCGAAAATAACTTTGAATAGCTCATTATTTTGTTTAAGCACAGAAAGACACAGTTTCATAATATTTTCCTGCTTCAGGAGAAAAATTCAATAATTTTACTACTTTAGGAGCAAATTTAAAATACAAAATATTGAGTATATATTTAATTCTCTCAATCATATTACCTCTTTTGGAGGTGAATCGTAATATATTTATATTAAGAGCGCGTTCATATTTACAAAGCTTTATTAATATTGTCACATTCACTTCAGGGAATGGATTAATATTATCAAAAGTTCTCTTCCTTCGGGAGATGGAACATAATTATCTGAACGTGCAATGACCACATTAAATTGTGATAGCGTCTGACCTCTTTTAATATATTTGCTACTTCAGGAGCAAATCGAGGTATGTGTGAAATAAAGAGAAATTTTCTCTAACTTATCTTCACTGTAACCATAGCAAGCCTAAATTATCACTTCTGGTGGTCATAGGCATATACCACTTCTGGTGGTTAACAAAATTTTGTTACAATGTGATATACGAAACATAACCACTTCTGATGGTTGTATATTTCTTGCAACCTTTGCTGGAGTTTAAGTGAATCTAACAATTACCCACTTTTAATCCTTTATTAAGATAATCAAGGAGAAAAATAAGTACAAAAATAACGATTGTATAATTATACGTAGCCCCCAACCGTTTGCCACATAAACTACTGAGGTAGCCTCGCGATAATAGCTTGAGTAAGATCAATTTTTTCTTTCCAAGTTTACGAGACCTCATCCAAGTAAAATGGCATCTGCATCATTATTTGGCTAGAAAGACGTTATTAATATACATGATAAACATATATTTAGAAATAGAAAGTTCGCACCTTGGATACTTTCAAAGATTTGCTCGAGATGGCAGAGTCTCGTGCTGATAACGTATTATAAAATAACGACTGTAAAGTAAATAAACTAAAGACAAGTATAGAGAGAAACTGATATATTATTCAACTTTCAAACTCATGTATATAATAAACTGAAATCTCCTCTATTTATAGAAGAAAGGAAGCTGCTGTGTAAGCTGCTACTGCAAGCTGCTGTTTAAGCTGCTACTGCAAGTTGCTGTGTAAGTTGCTTGTAGATAAACTTCAATGGAGTACTAAATGGATAATCTTCCTGAAGAAGATTATCTATAGCGGAGTAATAAATGGACGTCCACTATAATATTTTCATAACATATACGTGCACTTAACTGACAAGAGGGGTTGCTTTGATGGTAAGCAACCTCCATTTCCAACCAAGAGGTTGTGAGTTCGAGTCATCCCAAGAGCAAGGTGAGGAATTTTTGGTAGGGGTAAGATCTGCGTAGGCACTACCTTCCCCAGACTCCACTAGTGGGATTATACTGGATTGTTGTTGTTGTATACGTGCACTTAACTTTTTTTTTTTTTTTTTTTTGGAATTTGGTCCACAAGAGATGAGCTACATTAATATTTGGCCTCACTGCTAACTGAAAGCGAGCTTTGAGGATGTGAAAGTGCCACGTAGATGAGATGTAATAGAAGCTAAAATCAGTGGATTGTAGATAATGAGTGGACCCCTTGAGGAATATAAAAATCAATTATCATTAAATTAATGTCCTGCACAGTAGCACTGTGTTTTTTTTCTAATAAAATAAACCCCTTTTTCTTATTTTTATTTTTATCCTTTTTTCCATGTATGGAAAGACTTGTTTTCTTTTCATACATCCTGTCAGAAAAGGAAAAGATTTTCACCTAATTTTATGAGGCTGCAGTACATTAGTACTTCTTCTTTACAATAATAAATCAAAATGTTTTGTATTTTCTAAAACTACAGTATCTGTTGTGTGGTTCTTGTTTTTTTTGTTTGCTTTTAGCTGATATAATAGTAGTACAAACTCAGCTTCTTTCTGCTGATATTATTTTTGGCGGTGCTGTTTAGTCTTTCCTCAGATATCTAATGTTTCTTTGTTAAAAAGTAGGTAGCTGATATCACAGAATTTTGTGGGGTTGATGATTTGAACTATTTGTGTAGTAAAAATGAGTTCTTGATTCAGCATGGCTATATTGGAATCATACAGTAGTTTACGAGCTCGATTCGAAATTTAATATTTGTACATATTTAGTAAAATTTTCCGCACCTGGTTGGAAGTAAAAGGATGTGGTAGGAGTCTGAGAATTTCACAGTTTCTTGATTTTTGTGGCTGTGGATTGAGCTACATGCAATTATACGTGGATAAAAAATGGAGGGTTCATCTCAGTCTGGTAGGGAGAGGTCTGAAAATTCAAGGGGTTTGAATATTTCAAGTGTTGTGGATAGGAATTCAAGATTTTGTTATGATTCTGGATTTTCTGATGTGAATTGTCTTAAAGATCAACAGGGCAGGAAAACAATAGGTGGTAGTAGTAGTAGTAAAGATGTTAGTTTGAGACATTGGTTGGATGATCCAGAGAGAAGTGTTGATGTTCTTGAATGTTTGCACATATTTACTCAAATTGTGGAGATTGTAAACTTGGCACATACTCAGGGGATAGTTGTTCATAATGTGAGACCATCATGTTTTGTCATGTCATCTTTCAACCGTGTTGCTTTTATTGAATCTGCATCCTGCTCCGATTCGGGTTCCGATTCGTGTGAAGATGGGCTAAATAGTTCATCTTCACCTTTGCCTATTGAATCTGGCATAGTATCTGATAGCAGTTGTTTGCAGTCAAGTTCAGGTCATATGGTGCAGACTTTGGAAGCTAATAAGAATAGACATATTGAAGAAAAGAAGCATACTTTTCCAATGAAACAGATATTGCACTTGGAAACTAATTGGTACAATAGTCCAGAAGAGGTTGATGGATCTCCAAGCACTTGTGCTTCAGACATTTATCGACTCGGAGTCCTTCTCTTTGAGGTTAGTACTAGCAATATATTAGCAAATTTTGTGGCATTGAGGTGTTCCTTTAGTTAAATTTTAGTGTCCTCTATGATGATGTTTTTATCTTATTGATGCTTATAATTTGTGAGCAGCTATTTTGTACCTTCAACTCATCAGATGAGAAAATTGCAACTATGTCATGTTTAAGACATCGTGTCCTACCCCCACAATTGTTGTTGAAATGGCCTAAAGAAGCTTCATTTTGCTTATGGTTATTACATCCGGAACCAAGTAGTCGGCCAAAAATGGGGTGAGCATTCTTTTTCGCGCCCACTTGGTTTATTCTTTTTGCCTCGGAAAGTTTCCCTTAACGCATTCCATTCTTGAGTTGTTTTGTGACCTGATCAGTTTGTTGTTTAAGTCTTCCACTAATATTTACTTCTGATTTATAACATCATCCTTGAGAACCTTGATTCTAGTCTTTTTGCTATCAAACTAGAAAAACTATTACATGTCTTGCAACAGCAGTATCCCTTTTTTTTCATTAAGAAAATTGGTCGATGCAATGGCTTTACGTCTTGGGAGTAAGATCATATGCATTGTGAGAAAGTAAACTAATTACACCCACCGAGAGTGCCTATAGTTGAAGATATGACAGCACTAGATTTCACGCAGAATTAGCTATTGTGGACAGCTTGATTCTGCATCTTGCAATCTCTTCATAAGGCCTTGTCTCAGTGACAATATGCAAAATCATTGCTGATTTACGGTTCAATGTCCATCTTGAACCTTATTGTTTATTGATAAGGATGTCCATTGTTTCATCCAAAGTAGAAAGACCAAAGAATTCTAAATACTTGTTGATAGTAAAAGAAAATAGATAATAATGACACAAAAGAGGTATCTACTAATGAGTACTATCTGAATATTGTGAGTCCCTTTCTAATGATGAAATGCATTTCGGACGTCTTATCACTCGCTTGAATTTTCTACTATCTCTGCTTCTTTCATCGAATTTTCATTAAAATGGATATTATGCAATTGATCATCTTAATCCGTAGTGATTTTAACACCAATATCCTTGATTCTTTCCCAGTCTCTCCTCATTTGTTCTTTTCAATTGATGACAGCGAGTTGCTAGAAAGTGAATTCCTCAGAACTCCAAGACATGACTTAGAAGAACGTGAAGCAGCAATAGAGCTTAGAGAAAAAATAGATGAGCAGGAATTATTGCTGGAGTTCCTTTTGCTAATCCAACAGCGAAAGCAGGAGGCTGTGGAAAATTTGCAAGAAATTGTTTCTTTTGTATCGTCTGATATAGAAGAGGCGTCTAAGATGCAGACAACCCTTAAGATAAAAGGAGGCTCAAGCTTAGAACCAGCTAAGCGCTTAAATCCGCGGAGGACAGATATTACTGAAGATGATGATTCCGGGAGCTCTGGATCTAGAAAGAGATTTAGGCTTGGCACAGGTGAGAAATCCGATGGTCATCAAGATGAAAGCCAGAAACCCGAAAGGCAAATTGAATATAAAGGCAGCATTTTAGCAAAAAGTTCCCGTTTGATGAAGAACTTCAGAAAATTGGAGACAGCTTATTTCATGACAAGACGCAGGATTGCTAAAACAATGGACAAATCTACGAGTAGACGTTGTCAAACAAGTACGGAATGTAGAAGTTCCGGTACAGCTACTGAAAGGAGTTCTCTGAGTAATTTGTCATCAAAAAGATGGTACAAGGAGGATGGACAGAGTGGATTTATCAATTCGTACTTAGAGGGTCTGTGCAAGTATTTTTCTTTTAGCAAGTTAGAAGTGAAGGCAGATTTAAGGCAAGGGGATCTTCTAAACTCTTCCAATCTTGTATGTTCTCTCGGTTTTGATCGCGACGGTGAATTTTTTGCAACTGCCGGTGTAAATAAGAAGATCAAAGTTTTTGAGTATAACTCAATTCTAAATGTGGATCGTGATATACACTATCCAGTCGCTGAAATGGCTAATAGATCAAAGTTAAGCAGTATATGTTGGAATGGCTATATCAAGAGCCAGCTCGCCTCAAGTAACTTTGAAGGTGTGGTGCAGGTTAGTCAAATTCATGATCATTATTGCTTTTTTATTTAACAGAATCAGAAAGAAGTTCGCTTAGAAATATGATACAGGTATGGGATGTCACAAGAAGTCAGCTTTTCATGGAGATGAGAGAGCACGAGAAACGCATTTGGTCTGTAGACTTTTCCGTAGCAGATCCAACCATGTTGGCGAGTGGGAGCGATGATGGTTCTGTTAAGCTTTGGAATATCAATCAGGCAATTCTACTTTTGCACTTGGTGGATGTCAGCTTTAAAACTAAATGTACTACAGTCATCTAATTATTATTGTTGTATAGATTGAATGTGGATGTGTAATAAGTTGGTTTCTTACCTGGTTTGCTGCAGGGAGTAAGTGTTGGAACCATAAAAACAAAAGCTAACGTCTGCTGTGTTCAGTTCCCCGTTGATTCTGGACGGGCCCTTGCTTTTGGTTCAGCAGATCATAAGATATATTACTATGATCTGCGAAACTCAAAATTGCCGCTATGCACCTTAGTTGGGCACAACAAGACAGTGAGCTATGTCAAGTTCATAGATTCAACAACTCTTGTGTCTGCATCTACGGATAATACGATAAAGCTGTGGGATCTGTCATCGTGCACGTCTCATGTTCTTGATTCTCCTCTTCAGTCTTATACTGGTCATATGAATGTAAAGGTATTGTACTTTGATCCTCCCTTATATACCAAAAGCAAAGTTGGGTTTGACAAACAGCTTGATTCGTTTACAACCCTTGGTGGAATCTACTTATGGGTCCAACTGCAACGATATCTACCTGTGAGGACCATATTATAACAGACTTTAAGTAGATGAGTTAGAAACGGAGAGTTGAATAGCTTTTCGTTGTGAGATAAAGAAATGGAGGGAGAGAGGTCGACAAAAGAAAGTGGGGTAGTGGTGGCAACAGGGCCTAAACCAGAAAAGTAGACGAAGAAAAAGAGGTGTACAAAGGAGGGATAAAATGTGTGTATACGTAGCATAATCTTAATGAATTTCTTGTTCGAGCTTGTCTAGAATAGCTAGACAATCAGAGTTCGAGCCAAGCCTGTGAGGCACTTCAAGCATTCTTATGTCATATTGTACTCTCTTTATACACCGTGGGTTTGTTGCACTTATTCAAATGGTAGAGTACTGGCATGAAACTTGTATTGATTTCCTAATGTAAGCTTATGCATCTACATAAAAAGCCGTGTATGTTCTCAAGGGTAAATGATTTTCTGTATCATCATTCATCAACACTACCTCCAATTTCTTCTTTTTAAGACATGATTGTTAGTAACCAAATCATGTCTCTAGTTTCTTCTTACAAGTTACTCCCGACTTGTACTTTGTATCTTCCCTTTCCCATGGTAACGTAATTGTGCCTGAATGTACTTTGCTATTGATGAAAGCATTTCTTTATTTCAGAACTTCGTTGGCCTATCTGTAGCTGATGGTTACATAGCAACTGGTTCAGAGACAAATGAGGTATCATTTATTACCACAAAGTTGAATCTTATACTTGCGTACTTAATTGCATTATAAATTAGTTTTGAGCAATACTTAGATTGTAATAGAAAATGTTTGTTCACATGATCACATCTATATATAAGGATAAATAGTTTGACTAATACTGGATCTTTGAGCATCATACCTTAAGGCAGATACATGAGGCTGCAGTTTGTGTTCAAAGTTCAAGTTACTTTTAAACATAGTGGTGAAGTTGCTGAATGCAGTCCATAAATAAATTAAACAAATGACACAGTAGTAGTGATACTGTATTACAGCGTAGAACACGTGATTTTTGTACATTTATAACATACTATCTTGATTCACAATGACCATTTCCCTGTTACATGCGCACTAAATCAATCAGCCAATTGACTCTGCCTCCATCACAAACAATCGGCCATATGAATCATCTATGCATATTCTGCTCAATTCGGATATTTCATTTCAATACTGAATCTTTAGAGGCAAAATAGGGTTCTACTAGAGATCTCTAACCTCAAAAATATACTTGTGCTCATTATGGCACATAAGAATAAACTCTTGTTATAATTACCGATTTATTCAAAAGAGTTCATTTTTGTTATGACTGCTGATTTGTTGAAATGAGTCCACTTCATGTGAAACTCAACTTCATTCTTCACATGAAGATTCAATTGGTGAAGAATTTCCTGGAGATTATCTAAATGATTCCATTTAAGTTGTTTCATCTTGTAAAGTGTCGATTGCTTGGAATTAGTCCAAGACCTGGTGATACAGCCTACTGGATATCAGCGCTGCATATATTCCTTATCCGTGACTTTTGGGTGCATCATATTTTTATCTATAGTTTCTCCAAAAAGTCATTTAAAAGGAAAGCCTATCTCTATAGTTAGTACATGCAAACCTCTCTATAACAACCTCTTTTTTTCCGAACATTTTTTGGATGTTGTAGTGAAGTGCTGTTGTAGAGAACATATATACAACATAACATGAAAAATTGGTTACATAGGCCGTTATAGTGAAGTGATGTTATAGAGGTAGAGGATGGCTGTTGTAGAGAAGTTTGACCATAAATGCAAAATGCAAGGTCTGGCGGTTATTTTGTGTTTTAGTAGTTCAGTATGTCTGGTTCTAGATGCTAAGTTTGTACACTGATAGTTTGACACAGTTTATTATTCTGGCCTAACTCTTTGATTGTTCCGAATCTTGAGACTGCTTCTACATGTAGAAATCAGTTTATTAACAGTAAATTCCATGCGGTGAAGCAAAAATTAAGAAAGCACAAACTGGTCAAAACTTCACTTATGCTGCCTATAAAATGAAATTTGGCATCAGCACCCTCAAGGCAGGGTGTAGTCTGCGTGTTATAGATGACACGTTGGGCCTTGTGCATATTCCACCATGTGGCAATTTTCATTGTGTACTATTCTAAACGTGTTTATCTAGACGTGTATAGATATGCCTTTGGATCATATTGAGCATGTACAACATTGGATACCTGATTGGCCTAGACCATATATCAGAGACGTGTGTACCATCAACGGGATAACCAGCCCTAATCAAACAATCACATCCTTGCATGTATACCTAGTGATGGCTGTCGTTTATTTGCCACATAGTGTTCCCCCTTGGTACCTTAAGTTGATCTCTGGCACAAGCAGGTTTATAGGCAGTCTGCAAAAAGATGTTCTCCTTGAGCTTCAAGAGGAAACCAAAGGATTTCAGCTACATTTTGTTGCTCTAAATTCACATAAATCAGCCAACTATAATCTGATTTGATTAGTTGGTCATTGACTTCCTTTTGTCACCTAATTTCGTGTCCATCTTATATCCTTCAGAGAAAAGCCATAGCTTTTGGAAGTATCTTCGTCTGAAGCCTTGCTAGCTGCAAACAACCCAAAAAGGTGCCAACTTAAGTATGGGAACATTACTGGTCCTCAATGCAAGAGCAGGCTACTTGTCTGGAAAATTTACACACATTTTACGCATGTGTTGAAGTTGGGTCAGCAGAGGAAGAGCCAACTGCGTGGAAGAATAAGAATTTGTTTTTATAGAGATGATTGAAATGGAGGAGTGCTATAGGAGTAATATGCTAACAATGTGAAGGGCCAGTAATGTAAACGAATAGGCACCATGGTGTTATATGGGAGTGCATGTTGGTTCTCCGGACTCAACATATGCACAAACTAGATGAATGTCATAGAAATGGGAATTTTAAGATGGATATATTGTCATACCAAGACTGAATAAAGATTAGAAATGATGACATTTTCCGGGTTGTACATAGACCTGTATATTCATCGAGCTGGAGGTGTGACAATATGATGATTGAATGTGATAAAATGAGTCTTGTTTTAGACCATCTAGAAACAGCTAACTGCATAAGTGGCAGAGAGAGAACCTGGTGAAAACTCATTCAAAAGTACCATGGTCTCGTTAATGCTCCTATCAAGCCTCAAATTCTTCATTTCAGCCGTAGGATCATCATACTCTTGGCCAAGCCTCTCATTTAGGTCCAATACATACTCGTCCCAGGATAACTAAGCCAAATGTTTCCTTCCATGCATAAAAGGTTCGTGCCATTGGATTACTTCTCCCCCAAAGTGGACTACTTCCACCTTGACCCTCTCTGCTCCAATGGGTACACCATCAATTTAGAAGAACTGATCCACCTTACAGCTATGTTCTCAAATCAGACCCATCAAAACTCGGGAAATTTTGATCTTTGACAGACTAGTGAAGTAAATGGAGTGAAACTTTAATCTATTTGCTGGTGTGGCCAAGAAACAGGGTTCTCAGACTCCTAGATGGTCGAAGTGCGGTAGATTCTTCATTCTCTCTTGTGTGTCCATTTTAGCCATGAGCTTTGCAATTGATTGCATATGCTGTAATCCTGATTGATCTTGTTTCCTCTTTAGATCTCCGATTTATTTCTTCATTAACACCATCTCCTTCATGTCCATGGTCGATCGTGTTTCTGTGAGAATCTTTAAGGCTGGAGCTGACGATTGAATGGCTCTGATACCAATTGATACAAGCAAATGAATAAAAATTGAAAAAGTTAACCTCGAGGAAAGAGGAGTTTCGAGAAAGGGTCGAATAGCTCAGTTAAGGGGAAGACTCTAAGAACAATTCAAAAGATTGACAGCTAAAATGGGTGTTATTGTTTTAGATGAGCTCCAAATGGATGATTACAAGTAAATGATACTGTAGAACTAAGCTGGAAATTGGCCAACTCACTCTAACCAAATTTCCTGCCAAAATTGAATTTGGAAACTAACACCCAATTGGTGGCTATTAGTGCTGATTACTTCTCAATTTTCCATTATTAATGTGGATTTGGTGCTTTGTGTCATGCTGCAGGTTGTCATCTACCACAAAGCTTTTCCTATGCCAGCATTATCATTTAAATTTAATAGCACAGATCCGCTTTCTGGTGATGAAGTGGACGACAGTGCACAGTTCATCTCATCCGTGTGTTGGCGTGGTCAGTCCTCTACCTTAGTTGCTGCAAATTCTATGGGAAATATCAAGCTCTTGGAGATGGTCTAATGTGGTTCAAGTCCCCAAAATCTTGACCGTTGCTTTAAGAAGAGGAAATGTGTGAACGAGAAGAGTTCGGCACAGGTAAAATGAGGGGGTTACACCAAGATACTGTTGTAGCTGATATAAGCTAGATACAATACTATGGTAACAAGGAAGTTGCCATCAAGAAACAAATAATTTTGCAATTAGTTCATGGTGGAAGCAACTCTCTGGAAATATGAGATTTTGTCTCATAGTGGAAAGTGTTGTAAATAAATATTGGTTTTGGAGAGGAGTGAAGAGTTGCAAGTGTTAGTTCTGTTTGTATATTCTATAATTTTGAAGTTCTTAAGAAATTCTCTGCAATGTTAGATGTTGGCCTGATGACGTCTAAGCGCATTCATTTTCCAGCATATTCTGTTTAAGATGTTTATGCTGTTCATGACCAGCCAATTGGTTTGACATAAAGCATGCACAAATTATAACTTCTAAGTTATTTGGAGCACATCTTTCCAATGGGACATTGTTGGCTAGTGAGATTTGATAATTCTATTCCATTTCATTTCTGAAACTGTTTTGGTTGTTTTATTTGCTTTTTGTTATTTTTAGCCAGATGATGGTAACATTTTCAGTGTTATATTTTAATCTGCTGGCCTGCCGCCTGTTAATTAGGCAAGTTTCAAGATTGATTGAGAAAGGCAAAGGAGAACATAGAAGACATGTTTCTCTATTGGTTTAAGATCCAACCGAATATTTGATGTTTCACCATGTGACACATTACAGTTTATCTCTATATCTTATGATGGTTAACTTTTTATTTTTTAAGTAGTGTCACGTGGATATTATGTAACGTGAGTTGTGTCGCGGCTATAGTTATATAGCAATTTTATTCATGTGGCCGCTTACTTGCGTTTTTTGGGGTAAGATCTAGCATGTTTTGTCATTTTTACTTCTTATAATATATAAGCCTAGTTGAGTTGTTTTTCCATTATAAAATTAGTTTTATTACTTTTGTGAAGTAAATTAAAAGTTAAATAACCATCCATGGAAACATTGACACCAAAGTAGTGACAAATGTTGATATGTGTTGTCAATGTAATATCCCACTCGTGTTTTTGGATCAATTAACAAGCAGGGATAAAATAACGACAACTTTTGTTCCTCAATCCCAAGCAAGTTGTTTTCACTATATGTATCCTCACTTATCGTCCATGTTATACCATTTAAGCCCGTCTCAGTACAATATTATTAAAAAAAAACTAAATAGGGGTAAAATTACAAGGAAAATCTATTTACACTGGTTTTGACTAAATTTAGCTGACAAAACTAGTCTACCAATAAGTCTCCTAAGCCTTTGAGCCCCTGGACCTGGTCTAAGTTTTGTTGGATTTCCAACTTTAGAACAAGGAGGATTTCCAGCACACCAACCACCAGGTGTGAAACTACCATTACTCCTGTTAAGTAATTCCATATCAATCTTGTCTAAAACAAGATCATCTTGCTTGAACTTACGCGCAAACGCCGCGCCACTTGCAACCATTTTTGCAGTATCATTTAGGGAAAGAGTATGTGGATGTTGTTTTGGAGGAACATCCCAAGAAATATAGTGTAAGTCATGGTTAATAACAGTTGAAGAGAATTCTGGTGCATTGCATACAACAGTCTGAAAGTAGCCTTCTGGAGAGGACACAAAATTTGAGTAGTATAGAAGTAGGTTCCTAGGAAGATTATCCCAACCCCATATGCAGTATTCCACAAATGCACGTGAAAGGATCATCCAAGCTGAACCTATAATAAAAGTTTGTAATATGCTTCAGAGTTTAAGTTTTATGTACTAATGGTGTACAAAACACAATTTACACGATAAAAATTATAATGGACATATTATCACGTGCTAAATTACACTGATAGTGTAATTAGTTTCATAATCAAGAAAAGAAAAACAATATTACCATTATGATGCACACTAGGTCAAAATTCACTTGATGGTGTATTTGCTCCCCAATGTGGTAAAATAGTAACATATCCATTTCTGTTTCTACACTAGAGATAGTGAAATTTTGTTACTTTCAGTTACTAACTTTTTTAGCATAATAAGTTGCTAAGTTTTAGGATGAATTTCAATTTCAAATTTATATTAGATTGTTTAATTAGGTTAGTTGAGATATTTTTTATTTATTTTTTTTGAATTTTAAATTATATGGAATTTTTGTTCCTAATTGATTTTTTTTTGGTTTTCCATCCGATGTCCGGTACTCATATTGGAGTCTGACTAAATCCGGATTCGTCCCAGAAAATCCCACATTGGAGGGTAAAGCGCTCCCTAACAAAGGCGACTCCATACCCAGGGACTCAAACTCGAGACCTCTAGTTAAGGATGAAGGAGTACTTACCACTCCACCATAACCCTCGTTGGTTCTTAATTAGCTATTTAAAGCCTTGTTATGCTTAACAAAATCATTGAGAGACATTTTAATCAATACTTTTAATCTTTTTGTTGCCCCATCTTTCAAAAAACCAACAGTGGTATCAGAGCTTCATTGATCTTATAGGATCTGTGAGTTCTTCCAAAGAACCATTTTCAAAATATTTTTAACCAATATCCATTTTTAAACCCATTTTCAAACATGACAAGCAACAGTCTATCTTTGAATGCCCTACAAACTTTCAGTGGCGAAAACTATTGGATTTGCTCAGTAAAAAGAAAATCATATCTAAAAATCTATGATTTATTGAATATTGTAATGGAAGAACAATCCTTATGAGCAATCCCTGAAAATCCTATCATTGTCCAGAATCAAATACTAAATAAGACAAAGTCACTATAGGTGTTTTTTATGCACAAAACCATAAGACGAAAAAGAAAGAAGAAAAGAACAAAAAGAATTGCACTACAAAAATGTGCAATTTCAACGATGCTCAAAACAATCCTCAAGGACAAACAATAGAAGCAAGAATTGAGGAGGAGCAACTTTTTAAATTGCAGCAACTGAAGCAAAGGAGGAGTATTAAAATTTTGTTGCTTTAAGTTACTGCAGTAACTTTTTTAACATAATAATTTGTTTAGGTTTATGATAAATTTCAATTTTAAATTTCTATTAGATTGTTTAAGTTAGTTGAGATATTTTAGGATTTTTGAATTTTGTGGATTTTTTTTGTTCCTAAATGACTATTTAAAGCGTTGTTATGCTTAACAAAATTATTGAGAGACATTTTCAATCTATACTTTTAATCTTTTTGCTAATAAAAATTGCACGGGGCGCCCTATTTGGTCACCCCCATTTAACCTATACCCATTTTTTAAAAAATTTTTAACTTGTACCCACTTTTTAAATAACTTCAGCCCATTTCTCCTCCTCCTTCTCCTCCTTCATTTTCTTCTTCTTCTTCTTCTTCTTCTTCTTCTTCTTTCTTCTGCTGCTGTTGGTGCTGCTATGAAACTTCAGTTCATGGGATGATTGCCATAAGTATGTTTATCAGATTATTTAAAAATAAATTATAAATAATTACGTAAGTTAGTAGACAATAATTTGTGAATATTTCCACGTACGTGAAGTTTAAGGTCACACTTAGTGATTCTTTTCATGATAATTCTGTTTTTTTCACGTTTATTGTTTCAAAAATTCATGATTTAGATACTGTGGCAATCTGATTATTTTATAGTATTAGTACACTATGAAAGAATAAGGTGATTATTTATCTAGTATGTTAGAAAGCTTTTTCAAAAACTTCAGCTTATATAGTGCTGAAGTTTTTACAAATGAACTAAATAACTTCAGCATCTTCTGCTGAAGTTCGTATTGCCTTTGCTACTTCAGGCCCGTCTACTAGAATGCTGAAGTTTTGCGTGATTGTCTTTGCTACTTTAGCCCCGTATGCTGAAGTTACGCGAAAAAGTGAGTACGCTTGTAATTTTTTTTGCAAAGCGGACACAAATTAAAACGTGACCCAAAAAACGGGTATAGATACAAATACCTCTTTTTGCTATCCTATCATTTGAAAAACCAACAAAAATTGATAAATCTGACAGACAACTTTCGTAAAACCGAAAAGTGTTCTGGAAACTGAAATTCTGATGCAAACTATCATTGGTTCATCAAACCTAAAAGCTAAATGTGCTCACTTGCATATTGATAATTTGATATTCAAAAATTAACCTGAGGGAAAAACTTTCACGGAATAAATTGCAAATGTTTTGTTAACACACACGTATTTTCAACTGTCAGAACTAATGAGATTACAGAATTATTACTACTCTCTCTGTTCCATTATATATGACATTCTTTCCTTTTTAATATGTTTAAAAAGAAGATATGTTTCTCTTTTCGGAATCTCTTTCACTATTTTACCATTAATAACATGCTCCATTAGGCATAAAACAAGTTGTGTGGGTAATTTAGGTGTGTGCCAGAAGTCTTTTAGTATTTCCTAAACTAGGTACGTGCCCCGTCAAACATGTTGGACGTGTACAACATATGCAAATCATGGGGAAAAAGTAGAATGTACATTCTAAAATGCAATAGTTTATGGCATCAACTTGAAGTATATTGGCATGGCATTTTCAGTTTTCTATTTGTAGTCGTGATGCATGAACATATGTTAACAACGTTCAAAATGCATATACAATTTGGCAAAATCCATTGTCCAAACTAACCAGTGAAGAGTTTAAAGGCAGTGGGAACACTTCTCCTTGGTGTGACCCAAAATATATCAGACTTTGTGGTCTTATATAGCCCAGGGTCTATAATAAGTGGCATTGCCCTTCCTGTCCTGCAAATAGTAACATGAAAAATTAAAGCTCAAATGGTAAAATACAACAACAAGAGGACAAAGTGAGAAACAGAGAGAGAAGAATTAAGAACATACTCTTTCCAACCTAGCTCACTTGTGTGCTCAATGAAATTCAACTCTCTTTTCAAATCGGAAAATGTGAAGAGAAGATCTACAAAAAAAAGGGAAATCATTCTAAGCAAAAAAACAGAAGAATAAATAAGCGAGACCTTAAAGTAACCCAAAGATGGGCTCTGGACAACTTCTGGTATGAGAACACTAAACAACGTAGGGGTTGTTTGCCTTGGGAAACAAGTTATCTCAGGATTAATTATTACGCGGATTTAGGGTTATTATTATCCCACTCACCCATAGGGATAAAAATAACACTACAATTCCGGGATAACTAATCTGCGGTTAGTTATACTGCGATTTTATCTTAACCAAATGTGAGATACACTCATCTCAAATTTAATTCCAAAATTAATTATCTCTTATCTTTCGTACCAAACGAGCCTTTAGGGACAGGTTGATACAATTGGTAGGATATCGTATTTTTTTTAGGATATCCCTACTTTCCGCTGTATATGTTAATTATTTTATTCAATACTGGAAATTCATTGAACTGACTAATTGTGTAGGCCAATAAGCACGCCTTACCAAAAGATGGTTCGACTAAATCGGATTTGTGCAATTTAGACTATGGGGTAAAATGACCTCCACCAAGAGATGACCTGAGTAAATTTGGATTCGAACAATATAACTCCCTATCGAAAGGTGGAGATTTGCGCAGTGTAAACCTACTAAGAAAGGTAAAGCATCTCTAGTAAGAAGTTCTTTATTTTCAACGCTCGAAAGTATAAGCCTGCTAAGGGGGGTAAAACCCTCAAACCAAGAGAAAAAATAGAGCCTAGTGGTCCAGCCCTATCCTGAACTCTGCGCATAGCGGGAGCTTAGTGCACCAGACGGCCCTTAAGAAAATTTAAAAAAAAAAAAGGAAGGAAGGAGAGAGCTAAAAGAGCATAGAACTGACCATCTTGAGTCACTAGAGGATAATCAGAAGCACTCAGATTAATAAACCAATCCCAATCTTTATGCTTCTCAAGAAGAATAGCACAAGCATGAAGAGTATTAGCAACCATAGTTGGTCCCCTATATGTCACCATATTTGCTTTACTAATCATATGCACATTTCCAACTTGGGAAAAAATTGGATCTTTTTCCACTCTTAAAGCAAGTTCCAATCTCTCTTGTACATATGATTCCAAGTCCAAATGAATAACATAGTAATTCCATGGGTGATATAATGCTCTTAGACTTCTCCATAGCTTTTCAAGATCACCTTTTGATCCAGAAATTAAGTAAGCGAATCGCGGGATGGGAGGATTAATAGGAGGAGATGGAGCTAATTGCTTGATTTTTGCTTCAACAAAATATGAACTAGCTTGATTATTTGTCATAAAACAAGATGAGAATATTGAGAAGATTGAATTGATTGTGTAAAATGGGAAAATAAGACTTATGTTGAAGGAGGTCCCTAGAAGGAAAATACACACAAGTAGGATTATAACTAGAGGATTTGCACATGTTTTCTTCTCCATGTTTAAAGACCCCAGGCTATTGAGGATGAAATAAATCAGATGGTTCTATTTCTCAATCTTTTTGAGTTGTTCTTGTGAGACCAAAATCGAAAAAAATTAAAAAATCAGTCATTCACGATCACTGACAAAAGATTCCTCGTTCTTTGTTATTACCAAGAATTCTCCGACTTCTACAAAGTTGACACTATGAAGAAAATTCTCAAAACACTCGGTAACTACTAGCTTATAACTAGAAGCTATACACTTTGTACTTGGTATCATAGGTTTTATGACAGTATTTTATTGGACATTGTATTTTAAGATATTCATTTGATGTTAAAGTATGAACCATTATATCTGTCTCGCATGATCATTAGTTACCGAGACATGTATTATATAAGTGATAATAGAAAAGTCAATTTCACTAAGGAATATCAAATGAAATTTAAGTATTGAACAGATAAATGAATCTGCAAGTGTTATTCTTTTTATAAATGGTCTTCAAAGTTGTATTGTATTATACTATATATTATTAAATTAGTGTTAATGTTTTCTATAAAAGACAAATAAAAAAGTGCCGTTGGAGATATCGAAATAGAGAGAATTTTAGGATCGAGGAAAGTAAATAATTGGCAAACGGCATTTTACCCTGCATCAGCTGATATCTATGTACTCTTCGATTGAATTCAGTCAGAATAAAGACGCAAAAGAAATATATTTCTTCTCTAGTTTGACCACAAGACGGCAATTGTCTGGTCAAAATCTTAATAACTTTGAATAATTGAAGAAAAAAAATGTAAGTATGCAACAAGTATAAAAGGTTTAATATGTTTGACAGATGAAAACAAAGTTTAATTGCTTATATATACTTTAAGAATGATTTAAGTACTTGACTCTAGAATCTTAAATTTTATCTCAAAGAGTTTCTGCACTGCACTTGGCAGCAAAATGTATAAGACAATCAAAGACTTAAAGACGAATTGGTTCCGCCAAATGGCATCTTCGTAGCACATCTATATATTAGTAAAACAAAAATTAATTATCAAAATTGAAATTGTTAAGAATAATTAATTTAATAGAAGTTTTATGTTGGTATAGGAATAAAAATATTGTTTTATAAGTCGCCTGCAGTCCCCAGTTTTATGACCATGTGTACCATGAAATTCACACCACAAATTGTTATGTTGAGGAAGAGGCAAACCTGAAAATAAAGAAGATAATGAACACCAAATTTTAACGTGGAAAACCCTTCAAATCGAAGGCAAACACCACGGGATCAAAAAGATCCAAAAAGCTCCACTATAACAATAAGAGGGTTACAAAAGTTCTCCAAATTGGCTACACAACAAGTGCCGAACACGGAGCAACAATAGCAACGACAAATCAATTGAAGAAAGAGGAGAATCCACAAAAACGAAGCTGCTGTTCGAGGATCGAAATTAGGTCTACGGGACTCCAAATCCGATCTCCACCGTTCAAATCAAAGATCAGGATGGTACAAACACTCAATCAAAATATCAGCCCGATCCAATAGCTAACGAATCGGAAAACATGATATGAACTTGGCTGGTCGGCAACCAATTCCTGCTCAGGTAACTAATTCGAACGCTCCTGAAACCTCTCTTAGAAGATCTACAAGGGAAAAGCAAAAATTCATGCGCTATCCTCCTGATTAGAATGTACTTTTGACTGACATGGGAGAACTTGATAGCTATGATGAAGCCATGGAAGATAAGATGAAGTCACTCTATGGGAATGGCACATATGAGTTAGTGAAATTGCCGAAAGGTAAGAGAGCTTTATCTAACAAATGGATATTCAGAATAAAGCAGGATAACCATACCTCTGCGCTTAGGTACAAGGCGAGGTTAGTTGTTAAAGGTTTTGGCCAGAAGAAGGGAGTTGACTTTGATAAAATTTTCTCCCCTGTTGTGAAGATGTCTTCTATTCGTGTGGTTCTAGGCTTAGCCGCGAATCTATATTTAGAGGTTGAGCAGATGGATGTCAAGACTGCTTTTCTTCATGGTGATTTAGATGAAGAGATTTATATGGAGCAGCCTGAGGACTTTTTAGTTAAGCTTGTAGATAAGCATGCGTTTTACAGAAAATTGGAAGGCGTGAAGCCTGTCAATTGTTCCTCTACTTGAAGACACATTTGGCCCCTTGGCTGGAGCGAGGAGTTTGCTGGGCCCATGCCCATGTTGTCCAGCCAAAGGCCCAATGACCTAATCCTATTCTCTTTTGGTTTCCATTCTTATTCGGAAATGGATTCCATGTTTATTCCTATTTAGAGTTGGTTTTGAAACTGTGCAAGTCTTTCTAATGATTGATAACCTCTAGGCAATGGCAAGCCTGAACTTGTTTGTTACACAGACTCTGATTTAAGAGGCAATCTTGATAATTCAAGATCCACTTCCGGTTATTTGATCACTTTTGCAGGGGGAGTTGTTTCTTGGCAATCTAGATTACAAAAGTGCATAGCTCTATCCACCACAGAAGCCGAATATATTGCTGTCACAGAAGGTGCCAAAGAACTATTATGGATGAAGGAGTTTATTAATGATCTTGGCTTTGAGCAGCCACGGTACATCTTATTTTGTGATAATCAGAGTGCTATCTGTCTCACCAAGCACTCCACTTTTCATTCTAAGACCAAACATATAAATAGAAAGTATCATTGGATAAGAATGGCCGTGGAAGAGAAATTATTTGAGGTTGAGAAGATACACACTGATGAAAATCCTTCGGATATGCTGACAAAGGCGGTGGTTGCAGGTAAACATGAATTTTGTAGAAAATTGGCAGGCATGAAACCTGTCAATAGTTCCTCTACTTGAAGACACATTTGGCCCCTTGGCTGGAGGGGGAGTTTGTTGGGTACATGCCCATGTTGTCCAGCCAAAGGCCCAATGGCCTAATCCTATTCTCTTTTGGTTTCCAATCCTATTTGAAATTGGATTCGGTTTATTCCTATTTTGAGTGGGTTTTGGCTTTAAGAGAAAGCACCACTCATGATCTATAAATAGGACAGCCTTGGAGAATATTCTATGCTCACTAGTACAAGTCTTTGAAAGACTTAAGCACATAAGAGTGGTTTTTGAGAGAGCTTTCATCAAGAGAGAAGAGAGAAGAAAAGTATTTATTTTGCTGCAGATTTTTATTCCAACCAGCCAACTTCAAATTACGTTTTCCTCTCTTCTCTCTTAATGAAAGCTCTCTCAAAAACCACTCTTATGTACTTAAGTCTTTCAAAGACTTGTACCAATGAGCATAAAATGATTCTCCAATGTTGTCCTATTTATAGATCACGAGTGGTGCTTTCTCTTAAAGTTCAAACCAACTCTAATTAGGAATAAACACTAAATCCAATTCCGAATAGGAATGGAAACCAAAAGAGAATATGATTAGGCCATTGGGCCTTTGGCTGGACAATATGAGCATGGGCCCAACACAAATATGCGTCTCTCTGATTAGGGTCCGACCGAATTGGTTTCGAAAACCTTGCTTCCTTTATGTTCCTCATGGCAGAAACAACTCCACAAGGCTAATGTTGAAACTGTAATCAGACAACTTGGGGTAACTAAAATCTCGGGATCTAAATGGCTCTTTATCTTGCAAGCTTCTACTACTTCATCCACGATCAATTCTCCTGTCTGGTCCAAGTCTTTCTAATGATTGATAACCTCTAGTTTCACGTCCTTGCCTTGCCCCAAAATCTGACCTTTGGTTTGGTGCATACATTTAAAACTGGCTCCTGGAAGCCTCCGGTCTAAGCCGAGGTTATTTTTTTACATTTTTAAATTTCGATCATGGTTAGAAACTCTGAAAGAAATCAGAGAATTCAACTGATCATTTGATTTGATTCATAAAGATTATGAACATTAGCAGATGTGGTTTCCTAAAACTCCAACAAGCTTTCTATCAACTTTCTTGAGGCATCTGAGCATAAAGAATTAAGGCCCATGATAAATGATTCCGCTGCCCATTTATTTGGTACTGCCGATAACAACATTCTTTCGTTTTGGAACCTGATCATGTACTCCCAAAGTAATTCTGAATCTCCTTGAGCAATTATGAAGATATCTGCTTTCCGCGCTCGAATTTTTCTTGCTCCAACGTGAGCTTTAATAAAAGAATCTGCAAGCATTTCAAAAGAATCAATTTACTATTTAGGTAAGAGTGAATACCATGTTAAAGCCTCTTTCATTAAGGCCTCTCTGAATTTCTTTAGCAAAACTGATTCGATCTCATTTGGAGCCAAATTATTTCCCTTTACAGCAGTGGTGTACGTTATAGTGTGCTCCAATGGATCCGATGTTCCATCATATTTAGGAATATCCGACATCTTAAATCTATTTGAGATCCACTCTGGAGGCCGCACTAGGTTTGAATGGCAACTGTATATACTTCTTTGATTCCAGACCCTTTAGGACCGGAGGTGCTCCCAGATCATCTTATCCATCCGAGCATAAAATTCTCTAGCGTTTTGATCCATGTGTTATTTATCTTTCTCATGCATTTCATGAGTTCAGCCCTGAAAGGATCGTATGTAATGTTTTTGTTTCCGGATCCATTGCCTGTGCCGCTTGTCCAGTTATTATCCGATCTAAACTCCCCCTTGAAGCTACGTTACCAGTTCCCGGAATCATTTGATTTGTGGGTAAGCCAGGAGGGTCTTGAACTCCAACATCTGAATTTTTTGAAGCAGCCGATAATGCTTCTTGAAGCTCAGTCATTATCCAGTCTTGTCTTGAGAGATGGTTCATTATTTTCCTTTGTTGCGCTCTCAAAACTTTTATGGTATCGGCAACGGGCTCATCATCAAAATCATCAGGAGTGGGACTCCTTGTACATGAGTATTTCTTTCCACCCAACTTGGAATTGATTCGTTCCCATCATGGTAAATCTCACTAGTCAAATCGTCTTGCTGCGAATTGCTCATAGGCTCGTTGTTGTGGTTCAGGATAGCGTCGAGCAAATTATTAACATCATTGTGTTCCATAGCTGCATTATGCTAACTAAAAGCAACAAAAAAAAAATTAAGTTAGCGTAAGATGAATAGACCAAATAATACCACAATTGTCTAAGTCTCACGGCGGGCGCCAAATTATTTATTGGTAAAGAGGTACATTTGAATTTGTATATGATTTATACACACATGGATTGAGATGATCTTATTAGTAAAATTAAAAAGTATAAAGATACTCAAAGAAGAATAAGCCTGTAGTTCTGATATACTCCGCTAGAGTCAAGCTAACAGCGAAGTTTCAATGAAAACCTTTTTGTATATAACTATGAAAATGAGAGAAAGAGGAATTGATTTGCTAATTCTTGTTTATTGTGTCCTTACAATGAGTACAAATACTATTAGTAGTTAAATTTGGGGAGACAAGATCCTCAAAACTTGCCCTCTTAAAGATGAATAACAATTCTCTTGATGGTTGCATAATATTGGGAACAAATGCTAATGCCTACTCCATTTAATGTTATTTTCTTCAACCGGTGTCTTACTTTTAAATCCACTTATGTGATCTTTGTGGCCCAGAATTTACATAATACGGGTACATGTTTTTATCCGGTATTAGTTGACTGCCGACTCATTTCCATCCTGTCACCATTGTCACGTATCTGCTCAAAAGATATCCATTTATAAACTCTAAATTTTACCCGATACAGTACACCCACAAAGCAACATTTAAATTTTAATTTTACTTACAAACTGAACTCCGCCAGCAAACTTCCAACACTACTAAAAAACGGTTCTATTGGAACGGTTATTTGGCAACGGTTATAGAACTGTTACAATAGATTATGTTTTGGAACGGTTTTAATCATTCCAATAGAGTGAAAAGGCTTTTGGTACACTTCTGAAGCAAACCGTTCCCAATAGGATAGTAACCGTCACCATAAATGAAGCTATGAAGACGGTTTATAAAGACGATATAATAAGGTTATTTATGGGAACGGTTTACTGAAATAAAATATGTATTGGGACGGTTTATTTTTCCCTCCCCACTTTCCCTCCTAAATATTTATTAAAAAAAAGAAAAATAAATGATGACCCCACAAAAATTTTAATACTGTGTGTTTTGGTAAGATAGAAAGGCAGAACCTTTCGTCTCTCTCATCAGCATCTCTTCGTCTCTCTCTTGTCTTTAAACCTAGAAAGATCCGCCATCGACGAACTGTGCGACCTACTCCGGCGAAGGAATTCTGACGAAGGACAGCCATTTCGGCTAATTTAAGGGAATCTCAAATGTAGATTATCGGTATTTTTTCGTGTTTGATATTTTCTGTGGTTGTTCGCTTTCGCTATTGTTTCGCCGCTTCTTCTGTTTTCTTTCTCTGGTAAGATTTCTGATAAACCCATTAATTTACTCTGTCCTTTGTTTGTATTATATGATAAACTAGTGAATTCACCCGCGCTTCTCGCGGATTATTAGATTTACGAATGCCAAAATTTATGAATTTTCTTTTATCTTCAAATTCAAATAGTTCAAGTTTTAACCAATTATATCATCCACACTTAACTTTATACATTTTTCATAATTTTCCATTCACTTAGAGTTTTTAGTCTTCCAAAAAATACTTGATTTTTGTATAATCTATATAAGTGAAGCAATACTTTTATTTTTCTTAAAAGAAATTAAATAAGGAAAAGAATTTCAAGAAAAACTTTTTCTGTACATATGTTTAACAAATTTAAGACATGATTAGTTCCTTGTACATTTATTATGTGCATATAAATATCTTATTATATGAGTCTGTTATGTACTTTTCGTCTTTTATTTCCATTTTTTTTCCTTTTTTAACCATTTTATTTTTAACTTTTCCTTTTTCCCCTTCCCCTCTTTCTTACTTCTCTAACGGTTTTCTTTCTTTAAAAAATGTTGAATTGCTTTTTCTTTTTCAACTTCCTAATAATAACGATAACTAACAAAAAGATAATAATTTAAAAAAATAAAAAATAGTGCATAAAAATATACTCTATTATAGGATATTATTATACTATGCATTAATTATCCAATTTAATTAGAGAATACGAAAAGAATCAGTTTAATTAGAGAATAAACAGTGCACCAACATTTAATAGTTTTTCTTTTTTGATCACTGAACTTAATAATTTTTCATAGAATCCTTACATTAATTTGGTGCATGTCTTCTTCGTGGTCGTACCACTTCCTTCTTATTCAGATTTGTTTTACCATTTGGTCCTTTTAATGCTACGCGTATAGTGAATTATGTTTGATTAATGATTATCGGAATATTGGATAACAATAAAGATGAATTTTTCCACAGAACACTCATATACAATTTTGGGTTGGTGAAAGACAACATGAATAACCTTTCATCACTGGCAATGTTTTTTTGATTGGCCGCCGAAGTAATTACCAAGTAGAGCAGTCCAACAGACAAAAATAAGAATAAGGCTTAAAATAGATGCATAACTTAGTGTGAGATTCCAATCTTTGTAAATAAAGATAGAAATAAAACAAAAGAAAATTTCCCTTGCATACAAGTAATTTCTTTATTGCCGTAGAAATATGAACGACTATCCTTCAACCTAGTGTGAGATTCCAATCTTTGTAAATAAAGATATAAATAAAACAAAAGAAAATTTCCCTTGCATACAAGTAATTTCTTTATTTTCTTTATTGCCGTAGAAATATGAACGACTATCCTTCAACCTCCAATATAAATTACAGGAATATCTACTTATTGTTTTCCTTTCCTACAAAATTAGAGAGCCTAAATAAGTAAAACAACCGGGTAAAACTGATGTACATGTTTAACTTCTTTTGGTTTCTCAAGTTGAATTAACTTAGAAACATAAGACAGTTCACCATAAGATTACTCACTCTCCTATTTAAAAATCAATACATCAACTCATCTTTCACCAAAAGTTCAAATTCTATTATCAATTGCAAATAGTAATTATAATAAAAAATTAAATCCATCCAAACCAACGCAAGAAATTAAATATCCCTTTCTGCAGTTTGTTTTCAATTCCATAGCAAATGCTATCATTTCGTGTCGAAAAGATATAATGAACTTTGCACGAATAAGAAAACTAAAACAAATAGGAGGAGGAAAAAATATAAACTTAGAGAGTGAATCTAATTACCTTGAAGAAAAGCATCCAACGTTAAGGTATATCACGCCCACAATACAAATGAGATAGCATGAAATATCAAAAGCTAGCAAATATTGAGTAAGAAGCAATTATGGGACTCAAAAGTATAAACTTTAAAAACGTAGGCATACTTTTGTAGATGAGAAAATGGGTCCATTTGCCAAAACAATATGCTGCAGAATTTTTCAAAGNTTCACTGTGGAAGCCAAGATTTGGCTATCCATTATCTGTTCCAGGATTGTGCTAGCTAGAAATGAGACTGAAGTGACGCCTGAGAAGGTAGTATTTTTCAAAGCACATTTGAAGCTAAAATGGATGGATCACATCTTGATAGCACATGAAGCTTAGGTATTGTCTTTTTATCTCCTACCTTTGATGCATTAAAACACATTAATAAAAATTAATTAAAGGGAAGGGGAGAAGAACCATAACGTTTACAATATTGAATGTACACTTTTAGGCTTTTAAATATAAGCTAAACTAATAGAATGGAGAAGAAAAAAAAACGAAAAACCAGAAAAAAGATAAATATGAAAGCTGCCCAAATAGGGATGCCACATCAGCTGGTCAATTCCCAGCTTTATATATATATATATATATATATATATATATATATATATATATATATATATATATATATATTGATTTTTTGATTTCTAGTTTGTAAAACTATAATTATCTATTTAGTTGGAAAAACAAGTTAAACTTTGTTTAGGGTTTTTTGAGGTATTTTCAGTTGGAAGTTTTGATCTGACTAACGGGAAGGATTTGAGCACCAAAATACATGGTCTGTCGTTTTATACTATCGGCAGACTATACGAGCATGGTGTTACATTAAGGGTGTTAGATAATGAATGTAGACATAATTTAAATATAGACATAATCTTATATAATATACATAGCTAGCATAATTATAGGGATCCACAACAGATTTATAGGATTTCCTTTTTATTCTTTCCATAGTTAAGGCTCTGTGTACTTATATATATACTTGTTACTTCTTGAATACAATACAAGAGAGATTTCTCTATTGTCTCTGTACTTTACATGGTATCAGAGCAGGTCTACTGCTCGCTGGAGTTGAGTCGAATCCGCTGCCGAAATTCCTTGGCCGGAAGCTAATCTAAGGTCTTTTTGACATTTTCAGTTGACTTGTGGTGATTCTCTGATCATAGAACCACATTTTGGCAAAGAACAACCTCAGACCAGATCTTATTCTCACTTTGTTTGGTCAGGTTTGAGTTTGGTTTATTGGTTATTCGATTTCTTTAATTCTGTGGTATTTTTCTGTGTGAGAAGCTTGAATCTTTATTTTTGACTCACTGTCGTGATCGATTTGTGACTTGATATTGTCTGTTGGGTCTTTCCTTATCAGAAACTTTGTTGGTCTCTTATTTTTTTTGAGTTGGGGGCAAATTCGTTTGGTTCTCTAATTTGGTTGAGTGGATTATTAAAGTTGAATCTTGTTCAATAGATTGTTAATTTCTTATCTACCAGGATCTGTTTGGGTATCTTTCAGCTTCGGGGAAATGACGGTAAAGAATAATAATGCAACAACTCCTAGTCCAACAATCTTGGTTACGGATGAGTTTCTAAAATTCCTTCAATATCATAAATCAGTTAAGGACTTCTTCAGTCACTGCCTTTGCTGGGTCAGATAAAACATGTCTTATCACCTCTTCCAACAAATGGGTGATCGATTCAGGTGCTATAAATCACATGACAGGTAATCCAAATATTTTTTCTAGCTTTCGCTCACATAAAGCACCCTCTCCGGTTACTGTAGCTGATGGGTCAACTTGTAGCAGTGTTGGATCTGGGACTGTTAAACCAACTTCCTCTATTACCCTCTCATCTATATTTAGTCTACCAAACTTGGCCTTTAACTTGATTTCTGTTAGTAAAATTACCAAAGACCTTAATTGTTGTGTTGCATTCTTTCCCGATCATTGTTTGTTTCTAGATCTTAAGACGATGCAGGTTATTGGTAAAGGATATATATCTGGTGATCTTTACATCCTTAATGAATGGTAGCCACGGTCTATTGCATGCTCTAGTATCATGTCTCCTTTTGAAGTACATTGTCGACTTGGACATCCCTCTTTGCCTTTGTTAAAGAAGCTCTGTCCTCAGTTTCAAAATATTTCATCATTGGATTGTGAGTCATGTCGATTTTCAAAACACCATCGCATCTCGTTAAGTCCAAGGGTTAATAAGCGAGCTGAGTCAGCTTTTGAGTTAGTCCATTCTGATGTTTGGGGACCATGTCCGGTTGTTTCTAAAACTGGGCATAAGTATTTTGTCACTTTTATAGATTATTTTTCTCGAATGACTTGGATTTACTTTATGAAGAACCGCTCTAAAGTGTGTACTCATTTTTCTGCCTTTTGTGCTGAAGTCAAAACTCAATTCAATGCTTCAGTATGTACTCTAAGGTGTGATAATGCTAAAGAATACATGTCAGAGTTATTTCAGTCCTACATGAGACAACATGGTATATTACATCAGTCTTCATGTGTTGATACACTCTCTCAAAATGGAGTTGCTGAGAGGAAGAATAGGCATCTACTTGAGACAGCTCGAGCACTCTTATTCCAAATGAAGGTTCCTAAATAGTTCTGGGCTGATGCGGTTTCTACGGCTTGTTTCTGATTAATCGCATGCCATTTAGTGTACTCGATGGTAATGTGCCTTATAGTGTTCTTTTTCCGAACAAGTCATTATTTTCGGTGGAACCTAAGGTGTTTGGAAGCACATGTTATGTTCGAGATGTTCGACCATCTCTTAGCAAGTTGGATCCCAAGGCTGTGAAGTGTGTTTTCTTGGGCTATTCTCGCCTTCAGAAGGGGTATCTATGTTATTCTACTGAGCTTGGCAAATATTTAGTGTCAACTGATGTGGTATTTTCAGAGACTACACCATTCTTCTATGCACCTCCCATTTCTACAAGCCAGGGGGAAGATGAGTGGCTAGTATATCAGGTTACCCGTACTTTGACAGAACAATCAGATGATACTCTTCGATCTTCCAGTTCTTCTATTGAGCACCAATCAACTATTATGCTTTAGTACCTGCTCCAGCAAGACCTCCACTTGTTCAAGTTTATTCGCGGAGGCGAGAGACAAATGATACATGTCCCGTACCAGTTACTGCATCATCTGATCCTCCTTTGCCTGATCCTCAACATAACCTTGACCTTCCTATTTCTCTTCGCAAAGGTACACGTACTTGCAAATCGACATATTCTGTTGCTAACTTTGTTTCCTATGACCACTTATCCTCTACGTCTAGATCTATGATTGCTTCTCTAGACTCCATCTCCGTACCCAAAACAGTGAAAGAGGCTTTGAATCATCCTGGATGGTCTGGTGCAATGCTTGAGGAAATACATGCATTAGAGGACAACCACACATGGGATTTGGTAGATTTACCAAAGGGAAAGAAACCAATGGGATGCAAGTGGGTCTTTACAGTTAAAGTTAATCCAGATGGTTATATGGCAAGACTTAAGGCCATACTTGTGGCGAAAGGGTATGTCCAGAGTTATGGGGTGGATTATTCTGACACCTTCTCCCCGGTTGCCAAACTCACTTCTGTCCGCTTATTTATTTCTCTAGTTGCGTCCGAGAATTGGCCTTTACATCAGTCGGATATCAAGAATGCGTTCCTTCATGGTGATCTTCTGGAGGAAGTGTATATGGAGCAACCACCCGGTTTTGTTGCTCAGGGGGAGTATGGGAAAGTCTGTCATTTGAAGAAGTCCTTGTATGGCTTAAAGCAGAGTCCACGAGCTTGATTTGGCAAGTTCAGTGAGGTAGTTCAGGAGTTTGGGTTGAAAATGATTTAGTGCGATCACTCAGTCTTCTATCGGAAATTAGTAGGTGGCACTATTCTCCTTGTTGTATATATTGATGATATTGTTATCACAGGAAGTGACTATGCGGGGATTTCTTTCCTCAATTCTTTTCTGCATACTAGGTTTCATACAAAGGACTTGGGCCAGTTGAAATACTTTTTGGGAGTAGAAGTAAATAGAAGCAAAAAGGGAATACTTTTGTCTCAGAGAAAGTACATTCTTGACTTGCTTGCAGAAACTGAAAAGTTGGCAGCTAAACCTTGCAGTACTCCAATGGTTCCTAATGTGCATCTTACGAAAGATGATGGTGATCCTTCTGATGATCTAGAGAGATACAGAAGGTTAGTTGGGAAATTAAACTACCTTACTGTGACTCGTCCAAATATTGCTTTTGCGGTAAGTGTTGTTAGCCAGTTCATGTCTGCACCAACGATCAAACATTGGGCAGCTTTGGAACAGATTTTGTGTTACTTGAAAGGAGCTCCTGGACTTGGCATATTATATAGCAATCACGATCATACTCGTATTGAGTGTTTTGCAGATGCTGATTGGGGTGGACCGAAAATTGATAGAAAATCTACTACAGGTTATTGTGTCTTTGTTGGAGGAAACCCGGTATCATGGAGGAGTAAGAAGCAAAGTGTTGTATCTCGATCCAGTGCAAAATCCGAGTATAGAGCTATGTCACAGTCTACATGTGAGATTATGTGGATATATCATCTGTTGACTGAAATTGGGTTAGAGCATCCAATACCAGCAAAACTCTGGTGTGACAATCAAGCTGCCCTCCATATTGCATCAAATCCGGTGAATCATGAAAGAACTAAGCATATTGAGGTTGATTGCCATTTTATTCGTGAGAAGATTCGGGAGAACTTGATCTCCACTGGCTACGTGAAGACAGGTTAGCAACCGGCTGATTTGTTCACAAAGGCATTGAATGGAATTCGAGTTGATTACCTTTGTAACAAGCTGGGCATGATCAATATCTATGCTCCAGCTTGAGGGGGGTGTTAGATAATGAATGTAGACATAATCTGCATGTAGACATAATCTTATGTAATATACATAGCTAGCATAATTATAGGGATTCACAACACATTTATAGGATATCCTTTTTGATTCTTTCTATAGTTAAGGCTCTATGTACTTGTGTATAGCCTTGTTACTTCTTGAATACAATACAAGAGAGATTTCTCTATTGTCTCTGTACTTTACAAAGGGCTTTCTTATTATCTATCGCCATTTGTTCGTTCGTTTCTTTATTTGTTTGCTTAGAATAATGAGCGACGTGTTTGATTTGGGATGTGTGTTTTGATTGCTGTGTTTGTCCTCCAAAAAATTCTTTACAGAATGATATCCTTATTGTCGAGAATTTCCCGAAATATTTCTTTACTTATAGGATTACGCTGAGTATGTTTGGTTCAACATCTTTCGTGATAATGCCTACTCCTCTAGGAAGGCTTCTTATTAGCGGAAGTATTTTTTAAGTGCATGTTGCATAATTATTTTATTTAAAGTTATGTATTGAAGAAAAGTAGATTAAGCTGTTGTTAATCACCTCATTGTCGATGATTAGCTTTTGAATTCAGAAATGTAATTTTTCTGTATATTAGTAGGGTGGATTTTGGCTGATTTCTGTATGTTATGTAATATTTTCACCTCAAATAAATCGCTTTTAGTAAAATGAAGAGTGAGTTTGTTTGTTAAAGGGGGAAAAGGGACCGCTAAATCATCACTGTTATCTTTGAAATTTATTTCCAATAGTCTGCTGCAATGTTGAGAACAGAAAGGGTTCTCTTTGATGTTTTAGTGCTAGATTTTGTCATCTGACACACTTCAATAGATTTCCTTTCATATTTCATGAATTTGTTTTAGACAGGATGAGTTTGATGGCATGACACTTGTTTAGAATATACATTTGAGTGTATTTTCATTTCATGTTCGATATTCCAGTCCAGAAAAAGAAAAGGTACTATGAGTTCGCCTACTCTGTTAATGGTGCATAAGCCTATTATTTTACTTTGTGTTGTTAATAAGCCTATGAGTTTTCCGGTAATATTGCTAATAAGCCTATTATTTTACTTTGTGTTGTTAGTATTATATGATACATTTTGTGATTTATGGTTTGCAAAATCGGGGGTTTAGTTGGTGGATTTTAATTTCGTATTAGAAACTATGAGTTTGCCTTACGTAACTGTTTATGTGATGGTTTTGGTGACTGTAAAATTTTGCAACAATGAAATTCATATAATTTTGACAATAAGTGGCTTTTTTTTATCTTTCTTATTATATGATTTTTTATTAAGAGTATATAAACCAATTTTATACTATTTGTTTTGGTGTCATATAGGATAAAAGTAATTTAATGGATAATAGAGGTAAAAGGTGGATGGGCCTTCGAAGGTCAACTGATGAGTACATACAAAGAGTGAATAAATTTCTTGATAAAGCATTTGAACGAGCTTCCCAAGGAAATAAAATATTATGCCCTTGTAAAGAGTGCGCTAATTGTTTTTAGCATCATAGGAATGTGGTGGAAGACCACTTGATTGATAATGGTTTTGTTCATGGATACAACAAATGGGTTTTTTACGGGGAAGGATTTTCCTCGAAAAAGACTCCATGCCCAAGCAGTAATGATGAAGGTTCTGACATGTATGACGATATTGATGGATTACTTCATGATACATTTCGAAATGTTGAGGATGATTTGGGACATAAAGTAGTGAGGGATGGACCATCGAAAGATGCAAAAAGATTCTTTAAATTAGTAGAAGAAAGGAAAGAAGAATTATATCCAGGGTGTGAGAATTTCTCCAAATTAGGCTTTACTATTCGGTTGTACTTATTTTAATATATTCATGGGATGAGTAATGTGGCATTCACAGACTTGTTGGAGTTGTTAAAAGAGGCATTTCCATTTGCTCAGCTACCCGAGTCTTTCTACAAGGCAACAAGCATGATAAAAGATTTGGGTCTTCATTATGAAAAAGTACATGCATGTCCTAGTGATTGCATGTTATTTTGGAATGATAATATAAATGCAGATAATTGTTCTGTGTGGGGGTCTTCTAGATGGAAGAATGTTTTTGGTGTCTTGACTAATAAGAAGACTAAAACCCCTGCAAAGGTTTTAAGGTACTTTCCATTAAAGCCTCGGCTTCAGAGGATATTGATGTGTCCCGAAATAGTTGTAGCTATGAGATGGTATGTCATTGAACGACCGAATGATGGAAATATAAGACATCCTCCTGATCGTGATGCTTGGAAGGAATTCTACTCCTTGCAACCTGATTTCTCTAGAGACCCTTGAAATGTTAGATTGGGTCTTTCAAGTGATGGGTTCAACCCGTTTCGAACAATGAGCATTTCCCATAGCACGTGGCTTGTTATGTTAATGAACTATAATCTATCGCCTTGGATTTGCATGAAGCCAGAGTATATAATGTTGTCAATGATCATCCCAGGCCCGTTGGGAAATGATATAGATGTGTATCTACAATCACTAATTGCTGAATTAAAGGAACTATGGGAATTCGGTGTAGAAACATTTGATGCCGAATCCAACCAGATGTTTCAAATGCGTGCAGCGTTAATATGGACAATTAGTGATTTTCCTGTACTAGCAATGCTTTCTGGATGGAGCACAAAGGGAAAATTTGCATGTCCCACTTGTAATTATGGCACATGCTCTCAATATCTCAAGCATAGTTGTAAGATGTGCTATATGGGTCATCGGGCATTTTTGCCTCCTGAACATCCATTTTAAAGAGATAAGAAATCATTTGATGGTAAGGAGGATCATAGACTTTCACCTACTCCTTTGTCGGGTACAGAAGTCCTCGAAGAGTTGCGTGAATTCAAGAATGTCTTTGGAAAGGGCCAAAATAAAAGGTCTCGGGATAACAAGTGTCCATGGAAGGAAAAAATCCATATTCTTTGAACTACCATACTGGGAAACTAACAAATTGAGGCACAATCTTGATCTGATGCACATTGAGAAGAATATATGTGATAGTATTCTTGGGACATTATTGGAGATAGATGGAAAGTCTTGATCATGTAAATTCTCGCTACGATTTACAAGAAATGGGAATACGAAAAGAGATTCAACCAATACAAGATGTTGTAAGTGGAACAATTTCTTTGGCTAAAGCTTGTTTCTACATGAATCCAGAAGAGAAGAGGCGATTTTGCACCGTCTTTAAAAATGCCAAATTGCCAAAAGGTTGTGCCTCGAATATATCACGTTGTGTGCATGAGAAAGAGATGAAAATATCGGGGTACAAGAGTCATGATGCTCATTTTATAATGCATTACTTGCTCCAAGTTTCTGTTAGAAAATCGTTACCCAAGAATGTTTCTTTGGCATTGATTATGTTGGGCAACTTCTTTAGAGCCATATGCGCTAAGGTTATAAGGCGAGAGGATCTTGATAGATTGCAGACTGAAATCAATGATATTACATGTGAGCTTGAAATGATTTTCACTCCAACCTATTTTGATATAATGCCTCATTTTCCAGTTCATTTAGTAAATGAAATTAAGCTTGGGGGTCCAACTCATTGTCGTTGGATGTATTCCACTGAAAGAAACTTGTGCAGGTATAAGGCATTTGTTCGTAATCGAGCTCATCCAGAAGCGTCAATTGCAGAGGGGTTTTTGGCCGAAGAGTGCTTGACTTTTTGTTCGAGATACCTACATGATGGGGTGAAGACAAGATTTAGTAGGTACCAAAATGGGGATGATGGGTATGTGAAGGAGCAAAATTGTCACCTATATTTCCTATAATTGGCCATCCAATTGGAAGTAAGAAAAAGAGAAAAGGAAAGATTTTCCTCATGGATTTGCAGTTATGTATTGAGGCAGATAGGTATTGTCTCTTCAATACTGAAGATGAACAAGTGGAGGCGTTTATCATGTAAGATAAAATATATTATCATCACTTGTATTATAAGCTTTATTTATTTTATTTTTTAAGATTTTTAAATTTAATTGATATGGGCTGATGATTAAATTTGAAACATATGGCTTGCGGGGAACATAAAAATTTAATTGATAATCGTACTAGATCAAATGCGTGGCTAAGAGCAAGAAATCATAGTCGAAACTTTGCCAACTGGTTTAAAGAGAAAGTAAAAAGCATTGACGTGCCCAATCATTTGCGATAGCTAGCTAAAGGACCTAATACATTGGCCAAACGATATACTGGATATTTTATCAATGGCTACTTGTTTCATACAATGACGCGGGATGCCCCGTTGAAGACTCAAAATAGTGGAGTGACTTTGTCAGCAACAACTGATAGTTTTGCTAGTGCTAGGGACCAAAATCCCATTGATGGAGAGGTTCTCTATTATGGAGCTATTCAGGATATCATTGAGATTGATTATTGGGGTCGCTTTAGTGTTGTACTGTTTAGATGTGATTGGTTTCGTAATGAAGTAGATGAATATGGTTTAACTCGGGTATACTTTAACCGATTATGTAGTCCTGATGACTCTTTTGTGTTGGCATCTCAAGTACATCAAGTTTCTTATGTGGAGGATCCAATTGAGAAAGATGTTTATTATGCAAGGAATAAAGTCCCTATTGATTTGTATGATTTGGAGAAAGAGAATATTCCTAATGTTGGGGAGACATTTTGGAGGGAGCCTAATGATGAAGCAGCTCCATCAACTAGATTAGCTGATATTGATTTTTGATGGTCGAGAGAAGATGTACCTCTTGATGTTATTGATATGCCAACTGATGCGCAACATTCACAAGATACAGTTATGGAAATATCTGAAGAGGAGGATGATTTAGATGATACGGATTGGGATTGGATGGAGGCTGATGATTGAAGAAGAAACTTTTGATTTTTATTTGTATTTTTTATCTTCATTGTCTTGTTTCGAACAATTTTTTGTTCTTGTGTATGCTCTTGAGTTTTTAGTTTGTTTCAGTTTCAAACTTTTGTAATATGCTAAATACTAGAAACTATAGTCTGATACGAAGCTATTTTAATATGTTATATGGTTCACAAGCTTAGTTTGTTTCATTTCAAGCTTTTATATTATCCATTGTCATTTCTGGTAACTGATCTTCCATCTTAGGAATTGGAGGCCATTGTATGCAGTAGTATAACTCTATAGTGCTGCGCCAAATTGCTAATATTCTGGTGCTTCTTTTGTTCTTCTGGTGCTTAAGCAAGCAAAATTGGTCTTTGAACAGACAAGACTTAAAGACAAGAAATGAGACTTAAGACAAGATGATAGTCCTGGTGCTTCTTTTGTTCTTCTTTCACTTTGTTGTTGCTGCATTTATATAATACCTAATAAAGCTATTTTTATTTGTATTCTTTATCAGATTTGATAGACATGAGTCAAGAAAGACCTTCAAAGCCCAAAAGAAAGACAAGCGCGACATACACAAAACCTGGAACAATGGCATCTTTGGCAAACCAAATAAGGACTTCGTTTAGCCAAAAATATGTTGTTCCTGCTAGACAATCAAACAAAGAGCGGCCGAATATTATAGAAGAGAATCTGCCACAATATCTAGGAGTAGTAGCCCATGTACAAACTAGATCAACCACTTCTACAAAATTTATTGTTCCTGCTAGACAATCAAACAAAGAGCGTCCGAATATCATCGAAGAGAATCTGCTAGTGCCACAATATTTAGGAGTAGTAGCCCATGTACAAACAAGATCAACCACTCCTATAACACAAGTAATAGAGGAACAAGTAGAGGAACAGGTACAGGTGGATTCTCTCCTATCGAAGATGAACAATGTGAAGAACAAGGTAAGAACATATAGACTTTATCTAAAAATACTTACATCCTATTTCAGTCATAAAAAATGTATGAACAATAGTAATTTGGTGGTTTTCTTTGGTTCGTTGAAGGCCCTTCTAATCAAACAAAAAAAGAGGTAAAACAAAGATGAAAAGTGTACATGGACGACATGAGCGTAAATTGATTTTACTTGACAGCTTAAATCAACCCGTCGGTCCTAGTGAATACGGTGTGATAGAGCTTGGAAGCTTCCTCAGCACATTGGGAAGGAATGTGACTCTATGTCCTCTTGATATTTTGGATTGGAGGAAGATGGACACAAAAGAGGATATATGAGAATATACCAAGGTCTGGACTTCTTAATTATTAATTTTTAGTTGAAAATCTTTCATATTTTCTGCACTAACAGATTTGACACCAATTGTAGGATAAATATGATATTCCCGAAGCTGGAAAAAAATATATTTTGGAATCTATTCAAGCTGCCTGGAGAAAGCACAAGAGTAGATTGAAAAAAGATCACTTTGACGCCTATAAAAATGATGAAAAGCTCGAATGCAACATATCCCTGAAGATGTTCCAGTTTCTCAGTTTAAGGAACTCCTTAGGTATTGGAACTCTGAGAAACTCCAGGTATGTGACTTTTTACTTGTTCTTATTCATCTTCTTGAACTTCTTCTTCTTCTTTCTGGTTTTCACCTTCTTCTTGGCCATTGCTGGTGTCTTTCCCTTCTTTATCTGCTTTAGGAATGCTACTGTAAATGTTTTCAATTGCTTTCTAGTTGTCTGCTTCAGGGATGCTACTGTAGTCTGATAGTATTAGTACTTGTGTGAAATTAGAACTATGTAATATGCATTGTATAAATAATGTGAGAGGGACAGACTGAGTATCCTTGATGATTTTTTCCACATGTGGACTGGAAAAATGTAGTTTAGGAGTGCTGTCGCTAAGTGCTTGACAGCCCGTTAACCCCTCTGCCAAGTTGTTCATATTAGCATGTCGCCGAGCACTAATATTCTTAACAAAATCATCACTGCCTCATTTTTCTTTGTTACTGCTCGTACTTAGAACTAGTTTTTGTGCTGGTACTTAAAAGGCAATATTCACAGATTAAAGAGAATTTGAACAAGGATAGTTAAACCTTTGACACACAATCAAGAGCCTTTAAACCTCGTACCACCAATCTCCAACTGATCTTGTCAAGGAAAATCCGCCGCAAATGTCCAATCCACACAAGACTTGACTTCTTCTCTGGCATAAAGAATTCTGTGCATACAATTTAGTCTTCTTACGGAAAACTCTGATCAGGTAAAATAACATAGTGAGATAAAAAGAGAATTCTGCTTAAATACTTCTCTAGACAGTGGACATACCCAAATAAAGTATTAAGTTACAAATTTAAGGAAGATACAGTGCATTGATAACATCTTGGCGATGGGTCTTTTCCATTCTTTTGCTTCTTCTTCTTCACTGCCTCCTTATTCTTCTCCTTTATGAGGGTATTTATTTACAAACCAGATCAGATTTAATTTTCATATAAGTAGGAGACTGTTTATTAAAATACAAAAACTGAGGATATATAATAAAAAACAACACATATTAACTGAAAAACAAACTGATTTTGTAGACAAAACAATGGATGAACCTTCCCAACATGTGTAATTACCTAGCTACCTAGAGGCTTGAGGTAATCTAGGAGAGAGCAAAGCAGTGAGCGCATGGAGTATACCATGCTCTCCTAAAAGGGAATGTTATATAAAGTATGCAAAGGCAGAAGAATTGGATGTTAAAATGAACATTATGAGATATACTCACAGTCAACACTCACAGATTTTCCATTTTTTAGTCATTATACGGGCCAACCAGCTTGTTGTCCGAAAGCGCAACTATCAGTATATAATGATCATAGACTTAATGGAAGAATGATCATATAAATATAATTTACTTGTGTAGATGCATCTGAATAAGATTGTTTTATCAATTGCAACTCTTTAGATTCTTCTGCTTAAGATTAAAGAACGTATGTTAATGTACCCGTTTAGGAAGGAATGATTTAGTTTTCATTGTTATATCAACTGCAACTATTCAAATTCTTAAATTTTGTTGCTTCTTTGCATCCAAAAAGTCCCTGGCATCACCTTGTAATTTTTTGACATGTTGAACATCTTCCTCGACCAAGTCAGTGACACGTTGAGCTGCTGCTACTGTTTTTCTTTGCAAGCGACGACAATCCATCTCCTCGTTGCTGCTGTTTTTTCTTTCTTTCAATGTACTTCCATTTTCCATATATTGTGTTTGATATATAATTCTAAAGTCCTACTTGTAAGTTGTTGTTTGATGTTTCTTTCTGTTTGCAGAAAATATCTAAAACTAACATTGAGAATCGGAAAAAGTTGAAGAATCCTCACACTGCTGGAAAAAGAAGTTTTGCTTTATTTCGCTCTAAGTTGGTGTGTAACTAGCAAATCATGGCAAAATAAATTCAGTTTTAGCTTTTGTTTTGTTCATGGTAGATCAGCAGGAATGCTGACTCACTTTCATGTAACTAAGAAAACGACAAGGAAACTTCGGATCCTTTATCAGCAAAGAAAGTCTTTGTAGCTACAAGAAAAAGAAAAGCTGGTCGATCATACAAGTCCTCGGATGAAGATACAACTAGTAAAATCGTGCGAATTATATTTAACTAATGTTATATCGAGATCAATTATTTGTTTCAATTTGTTTACTTTTTATTTACTTGAATTATATATTTTGAATTTGCTTTATAGGCTGAAATGGAGGAAATTGAAGCACAACAAAACGAAAATGGCAATGAGTCCGTAGAGGCATTTGCATCTGTCATGGGACCTGAACATCTGGGATGTCTGAGAATTTATGGACGGGGGGTTACAAGAACTTCTTTGAGAGGGAAAGTAGGATGTTGTGCACGGTAAAATCAGAGGGTCCAATTTCCCGTCGTTATGATGCCCCGTAGGTATACTTCATAAGGCTCGAGACTGGGGTCGAGGTTCACCTTCGAGGGTTGTCGACGCTCGACCTCGGGGTAATGCAGACCAACAGCTATATTGGAAAAGAGGGGAATTTCCAACGGGTGCATGCAATAGAGCCGGTAGAGTCTGTCAGGCTAGTCTAAGCCCGCGTCATGACGTCAACTAGCTGTCTCATCTCCATATCTTTGTAATTAATGTATTTTGTACTATGTTGGGATTCCCCTCCTATATAAAGGGGATCCTTGCCATTTTGTAAACATCTGTTGCCCCATACTAAATACATAACAACATTCTCTCTGCTCTCTAACACATTCTTTTGATATTTTTGCTTCCATTTATTATCTTCATTATTGTTCATCATTTATTGCTTATCATTGGCCATAAAGAGCCTTCGTTAATTTTATTATAACTGTTAGTCGCTCTCCAACTGCCTTCGATAGCTCCCAGTCGAGCATTGGAATCGACCTTGGAATCGACCTCAAGGCCCCTGAGTCGATAAGCTCGAGGCCACGATTGTTAACCCATCGGTTTGGTTATTGCCTTATTCCTAATTCTTATCTTGTTCCTAAGTCTTACACATAGCATCAACTGCTTAACAACCGGCATAAAAATAGATCACATATTTTTAGAGTCCCATAATCAAATTTAATTGTTATTATCATTTTCACGGTAAAGAGTTTGGCGACCGCCGTGGGGCTAAAAATAATACTCCCTCCGTTCCAATTTATGTGAACCTGTTTGACTGGGCACGGAGTTTAAGAAAAAATGAAGACTTTTAAAATTTGTGGCCCTAAACAAGTCCAAATGGGGGCCCAGAGTATTTGTGTGGTTATAAAAGCTTCTCATTAAGGGTAGAGTTGTAAGTTTAAGCTAAATTGTTACCAAATTTAGAAAGGGTTCATTCTTTTTGGAACGGACCAAAAAGAAAATAGGTTCACATAAACTGGAACAGAGGGAGTAGTGATTATTTTCTTGCTGGTTTCATTACACAACGCAAGTTATCTTTCACACTTTTTCTTGTCCAAGATCTTTAATTTCGAGTCGAAATGCCTAACTTAGTAAATAGAGGCGAAAATAACTATATCGAGAACCACGAAGAGAATGATGTGGCTGTTCTAGATGTCGGCATACCACCACGGAACCCTGTGAATGCACCGGAGACGACCTCCAAAGGTACGACCTCGCACGACTCCCAATACGTTAACACCGCTCCTTGCGCTCACCAGAAAGAGCACCGAAAAGTTCCGCGGGAAACTCGGCAAAATCCAACCTGGGCAAAGAAAGAGATTCCCCGGCATGTCGTTCATATGATTATTGGAGGGACCGACATTCCCCAAGGTCCCATGATCAAACGGACAAAAATATCCGCCGCAATAAAAGGGCCGATCCGAGACAGCATGGCCGAAGACACCCTCGCATTCAGCAAAGAGGATCTCGAGACCTTGGCAGAATCGCACAACGACGCGCTGGTAATCTCGTTTCTTTTAAGCAATATTCGAGTTAAACGTGTGCTCGTGGATCCAGACAGCTCGGCCAATGTAATCAGGTCGGAGGTAGTAGAGCAGCTTGGGTTGCTCGATCAGATCATACCTGCCTCCTGGGTCCTCCACGGCTTCAACATGGCCGGCGAAGTAACAAAAGGAGAAATTACCTTCCCGGTCGACATGTCCGGTGTGGTTCGGAACACCAAGTTTCAAGTCATCAGTGGCGACATGAGGTACAATGCATTGTTTGGCAGGCCGTGGATACACAGTATGAGGGTAGTACCGTCAACTCTGCACCAGATGATAAAATTTCCAACAAAGGATGGCATAACGACCATATATGGAGAATAGCATGCGGCGAAAGAAATGTTCGCGGTTTGATGAGCCTAGGAGCATACAGACCCCCGAGGACGACGAAGAAGATTTCCTCACTCCTCGAACTTTTGTTGACCCCGAAGAGTCGGATACAACGAAATCGACTATTGAAGATCTGGAGCAAGCTATTTTGATCGAACACCTCCCAGATCGTAAGGTATACCTGGGAACGGGATTAACCCCCGAACTCAGGAAAGAATTCATTCAATTTCTTATTAATATATCGACTGTGTCGCTTGGTCCCACTTAGATATGACAGGAATTACGCCGGAGATAACCTCCCATAAACTGAGTGTCGACCCCAGGTTTAAACCGGTGAAGCAGAAGAGAAGACCCCAGTCCGAGATAAAACACGCGTTCATCAAGGATGAGGTAACCAAACTTCTTAAAATAGGGTCCATTAGAGAGATAAAGTACCCCGAATGGCTGGCCATCATAGTAGTGGTACCCAAAAAGGGAAATAAGCTAAGAATATGCGTAGATTATAAAGACTTAAATAAGGCGCGTCCTAGGGATTCGTTCCCATTGCCTAACATCGATAGTTTGATCGATGCTACGGCTGGCCACGAGACCCTCACCTTTCTTGATGCCTACTCGGGGTATAATCAAATTCAGATGAACCCCGAGGATAGGGAGAAGACTTCGTTCATCACGAAGTACGGTACCTACTGTTACAATGTAATGCCCTTCGGACTAAAAAACGTGGGGGCTACGTACCAGCGCCTAGTTAATAAAATGTTCGAGCATCAAGTAGGCAAATCCATGGATGTTTATATTGATGATATGCTAGTTAAGTCTCTGCGCGCAGAAGACCATTTGACTCATTTGCAGGAAACATTCGACATCCTCAGAAGCTCAACCCCGAGAAATGTGCCTTCGGAGTGGGTTCGGGCAAATTCTTGGGCTTCATGGTATCAACAGGGGGATCGAGATTAACCCCGATAAAATCAAGGCCATCGAAGAAATCACGGTGGTAAATAACGTAAAGGCCGTGCAATGGCTGACAGGGCGAATAGCGGCTCTGGGCAGATCCATATCAAGGTCATCCGACAGGAGCCATCATTTCTTCTCTTTACTCAAAAGGAAAACCAACTTCGAATGGACTCCAAAATGCCAACACGACCTAGAGGAGTTGAAGCGATATATGACTAGCCCACCTCTGCTCCACACGCCAAAGGAGGATGAAATATTGTATCTATACTTGGCCGTATCCGAAATAGCGGTAAGCGGCGTGCTAGTCCGAGAAGAGCAAGGTACGCAATTCCCTGTTTATTATGTAAGCCGGAACCCTAGGGATGCCGAAACTAGGTATCCACACCTAGAAAAATTAGCTCTTGCGTTAATAAGCGCATCGTGAAAATTGAAATGCCACCATATTTGCGTTCTAACGACATACCCCCTCCGGAGCATATTGCACAAACCCGAACTATCGGGTCGATTGGCCAAATGGGCCATCGAACTCGGGGGGTATGATATCGAGTATCAACCCCGAACGACCATCAAGTTCCATATTCTGGCGGATTTCGTGGCCGATTTCTCGCCCTCCCTCGTGCCCGAGGTAGAGAAGGAACTTTTACTAAAATCAGGCACGTCTTCCCGGGTATGGACCCTGTTCACTGACGGCGCCACAAACGTGAGAGGATCCGAACTCGGTATAGTCCTAAAGCCGCCCACGGGCGGCGTGAACAGACAATCTATAAAAACTGCAAAATTGACTAACAATGAAGCCGAGTACGAGGCTATGAACTGGCCAAAAGCCTGGGAGCCGAGACCATCGAAGCAAAATGTGATTCACTCCTGGTAGTAAACCAGGTGAATGGGAGCTACAAGGTCCGAGAAGGCAGGATGCAGAGGTATTTGGACAAAATCCAAGTCGCATTGCGTCGATTGAAATAATGGACCTTAGTCCACGTGCCTCGAGAGCAGAATAGCGAGGCCGATGACCTCGCAAACCTGGGATCATCTGTTGAAGAAGATGGCCTACTCCCGGGCTGTTATTCAACTATCTAAATCAGTGGTCGAGGAAGGTCATGCTGAGACTAATTCCACCAGCCTAACATGGGACTGGAGAAATAAATATATTGATTATCTGAAAGACGGAAAATTGCCCGCGGATCCGAAGGAATCGAGGGCCCTGCGAACCAAAGCAGCCCGGTTCTCGCTCGATGAAAACAAGACTCTGTACAGAAGAACCTTCGATGGCCCCTTAGCAGTATGTCTGAGGCCAAGGTATACGGATTATATACTCCGAGAAATTCACGAGGGTACTTGTGGAAACCACTCCGGCGCCGACTCCTTGGTCCGAATGGTAATCAGGGCAGGCTACTACTGGCACGGCATGAAAAAGATAATAAGGAGTTCGTCCGAAAATGCGATAAATGCCAGAGATTTGCCCCTATGATTCACCAACCCGGCGAACAACTACATTCGGTCTTATCACCATGGCCATTCATGAAATCGGGAATGGACATCGTTGGGCCCCTGCCGACGGCACCAGGTAAAGCTAAATTCATTTTATTTATGACTAACTATTTCTCAAAATGGGTGGAAGCGCAGGCCTTTGAGAAGATAAGAGAAAAATAAGTCATTAACTTCATCTGGGACCACATTATGTGCCGATTCGGGATTCCTTCCGAGATAACATGCGATAACTGGAGGCAGCTCATCGGTAGCAAGGTAACACGATTCCTTGAGGATCACAAGATCAAGAGAATCCTATCGACGCCCTACCACCCATGTGCGAACGGCCAGGCCGAGTCCACAAATAAAACCATCATCTAAAACTTAAAAAAGAGGCTGGAAAGCGCCAAGGTAAAGTGGAGAGAAATGTTGCCCGAGGTGCTATAGGCATACCGAACAACTTCAAAATCAAGCACGGGGGAAACACCTTTCTCTCTAGTGTACGGCTCCAAGGCTTTGATACCAGTGGAGGTCGAGGAGCCGAGCGCCAGATTCCAACACACCACCGAGAGCTCGAACAACGAGGCCATGACAACGGCCCTCGAACTGTTAGATGAAAAATGAGAAGCCTCGCTGGTCCAGATGGCCGCCCAGAAGCAAAGGATCGAAAGGTATTATAACAGGAGAACAAACCTCCGACATTTCGGAGTTGGGGACTTGGTCCTAAGGAAAGTCACCCTTAACAGCCGAAACCCTAATAAAGGAAAGCTAGGCCAAAATTGGGAGGGACCGTACCGTGTCCTCGGAGTAATCGGCAAAGGGTCTTACAAGCTCGGTACCATGGAGGGCGAACCGCTTCCAAGCAACTGGAACATATCGATGCTAAAACGATATTACTGCTAGGGTGTCCGATTAATAATTCATAAACACCCTCGAGCATGTTTGCACTCTTTTCCTTTGACCGGGTTTTTATCCCAACAAGGGTTTTATCGGCAAGGTTTTTAACGAGGCAACACCTATATGCTACCTAAGGAAAACTCAACAAGTATTCAAGGCTTCTTTT